ATGCTTTTATTGTTGCCGCTTCTATATACACTGTGTATGTAGGTAGGTATGCTTTTCTAAGGCTCAACCACAGCTTCTTTCAGGTCCCTCAGTAAGATCTACTAAGTTAGATACTCCTAAGTCAGGGGTCCTTTACTTGGAACCTATAGAACCCCAAGGGGTCCACAGATAAACCCGGATGGGGGAAAATTCACATCTTTATTTGTACTAACCTCTAACTAAAATTTAACATTTCCTTCAATTACTTAAAACATGATTCTGAGAAGATGCGCACAGGCTTCACCAAATTGTCAAAGGGGTCCATCATGAAAAAAAAAAGTTTAAGAACCTCTGCTCTAGACTTTCTAGACTATGACTCAACAGCAATTTCATTTTTAAGGTTTCACTACTATCTTATGCATAAGGCATCCAAAGGCATGGAATCAATATTACTGGACCTTCCATAAAAACCAAAATGAAGATTTATAAAATAATTCCTGTTACAACTCCTGTTAGAAGAAGAATATATGTAAATCCTTGGAGAACATAATCAATAGCTCTTTACTAACCAACTGGCAAAAGCAGGTTCATTTTTTTATGACCCTGCAGGTCCTACATAAAACAATAAATTATAAAGAAGTTTTTTCCCCCAGGCCTTTACAGGATTCTGCAGACTCTGCAAATGGCTCACTGCAGGAAAACTGTACCTTCCAGCTGTCTACCAATGGTAGACAAAACCTCTGCCAAACCAAACTTGTATTTTATTTCATAGTTACTATCTTTCTCCTCCTCCCCCTTTACTTTTTTTTTAAACCAGGCCATTAGAACAGGCAACCAAGGTTTAGAATAAATCTGTTTAGGCAAAAATCAAAAGAGATTTTTGAACCCCAAATTATTGTACTTGTGGAATGGCAATAGGACACAAAAACAATGTCTTATCAAACTAACATAAAATAGGTAAAGGGAACCAATTAAGTAAACAAGTATCACAGTGCCAGAAACTATATACATAATGCAAATGTCCAGCAGTCATTAAACCCACCCAAACTGAATTAAATCTGGCCTGCAAAACTTAAACTGACCTTTCACATTCACCAATGCCCAATGCTTTCTTTCTTGGCCCTTCTTCCTATTTGCTACATTCTACAGTAACAGGATATAATTACCTGCCTTTAGTCAACAGAGTCCTTCTCAAGAAGCAGATCCCCATGATGATCTAACAAAAATCAAAAATACTACATACATGTGTATTTGGTTTCTTTTTCCCTCCCAAAATCTGATATTCTTCTGGAGCACCTTGATTTCCTTTAAGCTCTCAACAAATGGGACCATCTTATATTTTTATAATTGTTTGAATTTGTGATCAAAAGATTCTAATCTATGACTTTCAAAATGAGGATTTTACTTTATAGATAATGCTGGGACCCTGACTTTTTTAAAATCTACGTACCGGTGCCTCAACAAAGTACTCTATTCTCAGTAGATTACTAGTTCTATGAGGGCAGTAGCTGTTTTAAATTTTTATGACCACATCACCAACATAGAACTCATGTTACATGAGTACCTAGCATACAATAGGCACTTATTTGGGATTGGATTAGATTTTAGATTCTATACTTCATCTGTTCACAAGAATGGAAGCTAGATGGGGGCAGCTAGGTGGTACAGTGGATAGAGCACTGGCTCTGGAGTCAGGAGGACCTGAGCTCAAATCTGGTTTCAGACCAGACACTTGACACTTACTAGCTGTGTGACCCTAGGCAAGTCACTTAACCCCAACTGCCTTGCAAAAAAAAGAAGCTAGGTGATATTCATTACATACTAAATGAAAAAAATATTTTGTCCATGATTATTAAATGAACTACGTTTTTGTTTGAAATAGCAAAAAAAACCCCAAAACCTAAGGGTTCCTAACAGCAGCATTTTTTAAAAAAAATATGTATTTTAACAGGAAAAGATCAAGGTTCTTTCTTTTTTTTTCCTAGAATGTGAAAATGCAAAGTTTCATGATGTTAGTGAACAGAAGAAAAGGAGGCTTTAAATTTGGGGAAAAGAGACCTAGGCTCTGACCGGTGAGCCTCATCTAAATTCTATACACCTATTTCTTCCTATGTAAAACCTGCCCTGAACTTCTCTCTGGGTTATCCTGAAGACTCTTGCACATAGTAGATACCTGAATAGTTGTAGATGATAGTAAATACTATAGGACCACAGGACCATAAGATCATAAAGTCTGGAAAAGTACCTTGGAGGCTATCTAGCCAAACCTCCTCAATATGCAGCTGAGGAAATTAAATAGGGAGACTAAATATCTTGCCAGAGTCCACACAGCTATTTTTTTTCTTTTTTTGGGGGGGAGGGTTTAGGCAATGGGGTTAAGTGACTTGCCCAGGGTCACACAGCTAGTAAGTGTTATGTGTCTGAGGCCGCATTTGAACTCAGGTTCTCCTGAATCCAGGGCCGCTGCTCTATCCACTGTGCCACCAAACTGCCCCAGAGTCCACGCAGCTATTAAAAGTGTCAGAGGCACTGACTCCTGCTGTAAAAATGAAAGTTATCATTAATAAAAACATTCAGTCTTAGGTTAATACTGAAGTAAAAAGTAAACTGTTTTAAGTTGGGTTTATTTTTTGACAAATGTTTTTAAAGTCTCTTTATTAGCTTAAAGTCAGTGGAAAAGTGATAAAGAAGATGCTCATCTCAAGGAGTCCCTTAATGTCTGTGAAAGATGAATTGGGAATTGTGAGTGACATTTTAGTGGTTCATCTGAATATCAGACATTTAATTATCAGACATCTATGAAATAAGAATAGTTATTGAAAATATCACAAACAAGTACAAAGAACATGGTTTTGGAGCAGAGTTAAGTCTTTCTAGTCCTAAATTGTGGTACTTAATACCAGTGCAGCTTTGGACAAGCTTAGGAAGTGGAGAGAACACCAGCACTGGAATCATAACACCTGTGACCCTAGGCTAGGTCACCCCACCTCTCTGGGCCTCAGTTTCTTTTTAATTTGTAAAGTTAGGTCAGAGTAAATATTGTCTCTAATGTTCCTTACAGTAATAAATCATACAAATTTTAGATACTCCTCCATAAGCCTCCTCTAAGTTCTTCTGACTTTTCTTTCACTTACCCTGAAATGTCTCCCATTACTTCTAGATCCTGGCTGTTAAGTAGACCAAATTCAAAATATGTCACAACAATTAATTAATCTTCCAGGCTGTGCTTTTACAGGTATTTGTTTCAAGGTTAATTTTAGTCTGAAAAATGATTGAATAAACATGTTGACAGCATAAACATATGCTGCAAAATTCTTTCCTGGTATTCTGGGCACAAAAAGAAAATACTGTAATGTTGAGTAACTGTGTAACCATGTGCTTGCCACTTCCTTTGGGATTTTTTTATTTAGTCACAGGGCAAAAACATTTACCAGCTTTTATCCACTTTAAAGTATTCAGGTTTCCTGGTTCCAGAACAATGAAGTATTTTACTGAGGGATTTGGGAGGTGGGAAGGAGGTAACAGAATATATGTTCCTTTCATTTTGTATTGTTCCATACAAAAATGGCTTGTAAAAGCTGTAAGAGTTTTTCTTAGTGTGTAGTTTTCCTTTAAAAAAAAAAAGGCTTGTTCATCAGAAAAATATATAGATATATATTTTTTTTCAATGTAAATGAAATTCCAGGATGCAAATTTTAAGGTGAGACCTTAGTAGCTGCCACTTAACAATATGATTTGGTAATGAGAAAGAAAAGCTAAGAAAGTAAGTGACCTGTCAAATTCAAACCATAGTCACAGAGTATCTAGAAAGCACATCAACCTCATGGAGATTGTATAGAGGGAAAACAAAAAGGACACCAAAGCACCAATACCATTGTGACTTAAATGGGGCCAGTCTTAAACACAGCCAATAAACCTCCACATCAGACAGCTAAAGAAAAATAATAATTATATCTCCTAAAATATATAGAATACTTATATGTCCTAAAATATTTTTGGTATATTCAATTTCACCACATGTCTATATAATGATATAGACAGATAGAAATATATAATATATATCTAGACAGATGTAAATATATAGATATATATCCTAAAATACTTTGGGTATATGCAATTTCTCTCTCTTTATAAACGGATATATATATATGGATGCAGACAGATACAGAGATACATATCTCTGTATCTGTCTGTATCCATATGGATATCTCTATGTGGATAAAAAAAAGGATACGGACTGATTTGGATACATATCTATATCTATCTACATCTATCTATCTATCTATACATATATCTATATATTTACAATACATATATATACACCCTAAAATACTCTGGGTGTATGCGATGCATATACTCAAAGTATTTTAGGATATCTACATCCAACCAGCTAGCTAGCTCTGACTTTGGCTCTCAAATCCGTCTTTTAAAAACACACACCCAAGCCGTGCTCCCCATGCAGGATACCACCATCTTCTTCCCTTTTGTGGCTCTTCCAAAGCCTAATGGACCTTCGCACGGTGCAGGCCCGGGAGCGAGCGGTGGGGAGCCAGTGCCCGGTGCAAACACCCAGCCCCGGGCAGGTCCCGTAAATGGCAACACAAAGGAAAAGGAAAGCCCCGGGGCTGGCACGGGAGGGAAATCGCAGCGGATCCCGACCAAGAGAAGGAGGGAGGGGGCGCCAACGTCCAGACCTGTTACTCCCCTTCCCCCCCCACCTTTGGATTGGAAATTTTAAACGGTCTTTTCCCCAAAAAATCTCTTTTCCGGTTCTCTCCGTTTGAAAACGGGGCGCGTTAGAACGCAAGGGGTCCGGGGCTGAGGAGGGGGCTGCCGGTGCTTTGTCTGCGGCCGGGGCCGGGCCGGTGCTCCTTGGCTGCCCCTCCGCGAACCCGCAGGGGCGACCCCCGGCCCCGGGCCGGCGGCGCGTCCTCCTCCCCTCCGCAGCGGGCCTCGGGGCCTGCACGCGCCGGGGCCCGGGCCGAGGCCGGGCCGGGGCCGGGCGGGGGTAGCACACTCACCTGGGCGGCTCGGGTGGCGGGCTGCTGCGGAGCGCTGGACTGAAGGAAGCGGGGAAGGGAGAGAGGGAGGCGGGCGGGCCCAGGCGGGCGGCGGCGGCGGCGGCGGCGGCTCCAGTCACTGCCGGCAGTCGCTGTCCCAGCCCCTCCGTGCGTCAGGCGGGGGGCGGCGGCGGCGGCCCAGTGACCCACTTCACACCCCGCCCTCGCGCCCTCCCCTCCCCGACGGCTGCACGCGAGCGCGCGCGGCCCCCGCCCCCTGCACTCCGCCACCCCGTGCCACCCCCGCACTACGACCTGGACCCGAACCTGCACCCTGCGGTGCGCCGAGCACCCGGCCACTCCTCCTTCTCCTGTGTGGCCCCGGAGATCTCGGGGAGGGGCCACGGGGACTGGAGTACCCCAAGGATTTGGGACCTTGTCTATGCTGGGGCCCTCCCTGCTCCAAAACCCTACAAACTACCACGAATTTAGTTCTTTTCCCACACCCACTCCGTGACTTTGTGTGGGGATCTTGGACAAGTCACCTCAGGTTCCTCATCTGTGAAAAAAGAGTGGGGAGGGGGCTTCTCAGGTGCTCTCCATCTCTAAATCTGGTAGAGGCTACCTCTCCTTCTTCTAAAGGCCTTTGATTGTGGTCACTTGTCAGGTCCCTGCTGCCAGGTGCGTGGGGCCACAGGGTCTTCTGAGTGTGGTAGGCACTCTTAGTCCCCGAACCTTCATGGGTGAGCCCAAGTAGTGAGTGAGAGGAATAGATTGTTAGAGCTGGAAAAGAAAAGCCTCTTCAACCCCTTCATGTCACAGATGTGGAAACTGAGGCCCAGAGAGGGAAAGTGATGGTAGAGTAGAATTTAAGGGAAAGGAATGAGGATGGGAGAGTCTTGATTTCAGTGCTTTGCTTTCTCTTCTGAGGGTATAGCTAAATCCTATGCTACCAACTACGGTGGATTCTCTACTATACACTGGAAAACTATTGTAGCTCCAGAAAGGCAGAGACAACCTATCTTACCCAGTTCATAGCCCAGTGCCCACCAAATTGTTAATCATTTTGAATGTGAATTGTTGAATACCCCAGTATCTATCCCAGAGCTACCTCTTTGCTCTTCCTTCCACCCCCATCATTACTGACCTTGTTCTATTTTCTTACATTAAAGCCCACTACATTCCCTTTCTCCATGAATAAGTTGTTGTTATCCCATTCCATTAGATATTTTCATAAACTTAACATAACTGCCACTTCAATTTCCTTATCCTCACCCATTGGTATTATTGATCTCCCAATTCCATTCCCCTTCCTTATTCCTTTCCCATTCCCCCATTCTCTCCTTCCTTATCCACAACAAGCTACAAATAATATCTTGTTCAACTTTCTGGCCCTCACTTGAGGTACTTAAGTCCAGTTAGGAAACTACCCTCATCACTAAAACCACCTCAGCCTGCAAGGATGACATTGCTGGCATGCACCAAGAAATTCTGTTCCCTGCTGGTTCCTTCTCGTGACTGGGGTCCTCCAACATCTTTCCCTCCAAAATCTTCCCGTCTTGCATCTCCAACCTCTTTCAGAAGTCTTGAGTTGGAAGTCCAGTAGAAATGTTAAAACAAAACTCCCTAAAAAAGTCCCCCTAAAACCTACCACCACAAATTCCCTATTACAGTCAGGGGCAACAGTGTCTCCTCAATCCCCCAGGCTTGCAACCTAGATGTCATTCTCAACTCCTAGCTCTCACTCCCCCATATCCAAACTGTCACCAGTCTATCAATTTCACTTTTGCAATATCTCTCTCTTCTCTCCTCTAACACAGAGACCACCTTGGTACAGGCTCTCATCATCTCATGTATGGACCATTACAATAGCCTGTTGGTGGGTCTGTCTGCCTCAAGCCTCTCCCCCCCTGGAATCCATCCTCCATTCAGCCACCAACGTGATTTCCTAAAGCACAGGTTTGACCACGTCATTCCCACCCCCCATGTCCCACTCTACAAACTCCAGTGACTTCCCATCGCCTCCAGGATCAAATACAAAATCATCTGGTGTTCAGACCTTCATAACCTTGCCCCCTCCAGCCTTTCCAGTCTTATACTTTAGTCCCTTCCACTATTCCATCCGCTGACAAGGACGTCCTTGCTGATCCATGAACAAAACAATTCATCTCTCAGCTCCCCAATTAAATTGTGAGCCCCTTGAAGGCATTTTCCCCTCTTTTTTGTACCCCCAGCATTTAACAGAGTGCACATAGTAGGTGCCTAATAAATGTTGATTGATTGATTCCAGGAACATCTAGCCATTAATTCTGAGCTCAGTTGGGCCTCCAGGAAGAGGTCTTTTAGATGTGCAAGAAGTGAATACAGCTGAAGAGTTGTCAGAATCAACTGGGGGGATGTGGTGTATAAAGAAGAGAATGATTTCTACAAGGTTCTGGGACCAGGTTTATAAGACCTGCACAGCCACTACTCCTCCGTCCCTCAAGCTGGATTCCCTGGGCAATTTGTGAACTTTGTACATGACCAGTAGTGCCTGTAATGACTTCCCTTCTTTTCTGTCTGTTTGATATTCTATTTAGCATTCAAGCTGGTGCCACTGCCTCCAGGAAATCTACTTGACCTAACCAGTCAGGGTTCTGTAGCACTTTACTCTCACCATGTTTCATTTAATATTATTGTTATTTGTATATGATTCCTCTCACTATTTGACTGTGACCTACAAAAGGCTAAGCATAGGGGTCCTATTTATCTTTGTATTTCCCACGCTAGCCAAATACAGTGTTCCATACCAGTGGTGTCAGAACTAAATAGAAACAGATGTTGACTTAGAAAACCACAAATTAACATTATCTATGTTGTATTTTTATTTATTTTGTTAACAATTTCCCAATTATACTTTTGTTTATATACATATATATACATATATATTTAATTTTCTAAAATTACTTTTAAAATTTATTTTATTTTTAATTTATGGAATAAAGCAAGCACTTGCATGACATAGTACAATAAAAAGATGCTTGTACATGAAACTGCAAATCTACTATGCACGACCTGCTATTCCTTTCAAATATGCAACAAAATTATAATGTAAATATCTTTTTTTCCTTTTTTCTTCCCTCCCCCAGATGGCTACCATTAGACACAAATAGGTATGTATATATATATGTATATACATATATATAATTATTCATTCAAATATGCACTTTAGCACTTAATTTTATATCATATGTAAGATCTTCCATATCCCAATTGTCAACTAGCTTTGAGTAAATTAGAAACCATTTCTATCTCAAACTTATTCTCCTCTATTACTGCACTCAAAAAACCCCAAAGATCAGGTTTTGAGGCTGTGGTGACAGATAACACCTAGATTTCCCCAGTCACCAATCCTGGAACCCCCTCAAAGGAAGGAGCAACTTCCACGCATGTCAGAGATGGTATTTTCCTTTCCTAAAAGAGAAAGGTTGAAAGTCATCTAAATCTGAGGAAATGCCACACCATTCATCAACCCAAACTAGAGGCAGATTTGGAATACTGCATCATCCCACTCCTATCTCTAGTTGGCTGTAAAAAAAAAATCACCTAATAAATCTTTGTATGACATACAAATTTTGTGGGTAGGTTTCCTCCTTTCTCACTTTTCTAGTGCAGACTCTTTTGCTGTTGTTCAGTCACGTCCAACTTTTGTGACCCCATTTGAGGTTTTCTTGGAAAAGATACTGGAGTGGTTTGCCATTTCTTTCTCTAGCTCATTTTACAGATGAGGAAACTGAGGCAAACAGGGTTAAGCAACTTGTCCAAGGTCACATAGCTAGTAAGTGTCTGAGGTCATATTTGAACTGAGGAAGATGAATTTTCCTGACTCTAGGACTGGTACTCTATCCACTATGTCACCTTGCTGCCCCAGAGTAGATTCTGAATTACCACATAATCATTCATTTAGAAGGACATTTGTCACCAAATTAAATAATTGAAATAGCAGGAAAAAATGAGTAAATATCCTTTTTTATTTTAAATTCCTGTATTTCAGAAAGTTTTCATTCTAGTTGCATCAGTGAGTAATCCTAATTTAAGGACCTGAGTTCAAACTCTGAGCTCTGATACATAACGCCACTGTATGACTTTGGACAAATTTCTTCACTTCTCTTGGCCTCAGTTTCTTTACCTGTAAAATAAAGTCTTTGGACTATATGAACTCGAAGGTCTCTTCTAGCTATAAATCTATGAACCTATGTATGACTCCCTTATCCTAATTCAGGAAGATGTTTAACATAATAATATATTTATGTACTGTTTTTTGTGATTTCATTTGATCTTCTGAACCACTCTGTGAAGTTTATATTATTATTCCCATTTTATCATTCTATGAAAAAGATCACAGCTCCAGAAAGCTGAAGGTGAGGGAGGTAGAATGGAAGAGTGAAAGCCAGTCTGTGGGAAAGGATTCAGGAAGATCTGAAAGATAGGAAAGTCTGGCTTGACTAGAGAAAAGGTAGAACAAAGATACACTAAAAACTAATTTCCAGTATACTTGTGAGTAGGATGCTATTAATGGACAGACTTCTGTTAACATGACTATTTCCCCCCTTTTTTCATTTTAGCCCAAGAATGTTTTCATTTTACTGTACAGTAACAAACTCTTTTAAAAGAAAAGCTTGTTAATGGTTGGGAGCTCTTTACATGGGGGAGGGGGAATGGAACAAAAAACCAAACAAAGAAGTAATGCTTTGTCAGGGGTGGAGGTGAGGAACCAAAAAAAAAATAGAGGGAAGATGTTGTCAGCTCTAATCATGAAAGAGGCACCTGTAAGCATAAATCTGGGCTTGTTGGTGAAAAAAAAATAAAGGGATTATAATGTTAATTCCACTGTGCCACACATTTAATGTTCCCCTCTGAACTACCTAACATTCTTTGTTTATCATAATAAGACCTCTGTAATACCTGACATTCTTTACTTATCATTATCCACAGACCAGTGGCAGAACTATGAATATTTTACATAACATGCTGATACTTACCCTTATCCACTAAGTCCAAAACAAATTATCCAATTCCTTAAATAAAGGATAACTGTGTTATGGCAGAACACTGAACTAGGAGGCAGATGACTTGTATTCTAGTTCCATTTCTACTATTAATTAGCTAAAATCAAAATTTTCTCTAGGCTAGGTGTTCTTAACCTGTGGTCCAT